GTTACACATCATACGCGACTACTGTAAGGCTCGCTCGTTATTTTGTTTTACACGTATATCACACTAATATTAAAAAGGCGAAAGTTTGTGAGTGTGTATGTTTGTTACTTCTTCACGGCTAAACGGCGGGCGCGATTTTAATAAAATTTGGTATGGAGTTAGCTGACATCCTAGATTAAAACATAGGCTACGTTTTACTGCGGGAAAATATCCCTAAAAACCACGGGTAACACCGCGGGGCACTGCTAGTTGTTTATGAACCACACCCGCCCGACCGAATGACATCACCTTTGCCAATTGATTTTGGTACAAACCGACCATTTTGCAGCTGGGTCGTCATTATCATTTTTCATTTTCCAGTAAATCTATAAATAATATCGAATATCAAAATATAAGACATATATCATATTCATCAGCCCTTCAATGTCCACAATTCCCCATTGCTGATGAAAAGGCTCTTCGTATGGGTACAATAAAGATAAAAGGTTTATTTTTATTCCCAAATCGTACCATTATGTATTCTGTGGCCTAAGCTACCTTAAGAGAAATCACGGATTTGTGGGTACTATCGAATGCAGATGAAGGCGACAGCAATGGTTAACGTACCTTCCGAACCCCAGAGGAACTCAATATAATAAATTTTTGGTCACCCATCTTATGAACAAACATTGCGAAAATTGCTTAACTTCGCAATCGAATAGAACACACAAACCGCTGAATACCTTCACTATAACACATACATTACAATCTTATCTAGTGCATTATATTTTATGGCAATCGTAAGTATTCAATTGCTAAAACTTAACATCTAACGCATATTTAATTAGAAAAACTACAACTTTTTTCACCATTCATATCAATCAGAGAATTATAAGTAAACCGCATAACTGAGTCCGCGCCTGCGGGGTAAAGGGTGTGGGGGAGGACGAGAACGGGGACCGTGAGAGGTGCGGGCGGCAGGCACATTCTTATTTATTTATTTGCTATCATGTACAAAAGTTAAAAGATCTCACATATATTCTTAGTTATAGTACATGCCTGCATATACTGCAAAATTACTTCTTGTTTCCCTTTACCCCGCAGGCGAGGACTCAGTTAAGCGGTTTACCTATAAATCTCTGTTTGATATGAATGATGAAGCAAGTTGTTTTTGTTTTTCTGAGAAACGAGAAAGGGGAACGAGAGAGGTGCGGGCGGCGGGCGCTTGTAATTTTGACTTGAATGTGCTTTGCCGCCCGCACCTCTCACAGTCCCCGTTCACCGTTCTCGTCCTTCCCCACACCCTCTACCCCGCAGGCGGGGACTCAGTTAAGCAGTTTTCCTCTAATTCCCTTTTTGATATATAATTCTAAGTTAGGGGATCTACCTATAATTTTGTGACTCTCTTCCTTGAACGAAAAAAACGGAGAAATTCAATTTAATCCGTCAGTTAGATTATCAAAAAATAATGGAAGCGATTTATTGTCCATATGGAAAAAATGCTTAAGATAAAGCGCATCGAAGTTTGAGAGTGGGGATCGTAACGTGGCATTTCAAATCAATAATCTCTGAAGTGTTCTAAATATATGTGTGAAAAATGAAAAATACGTGTCCTTTTTGATAATCTACCTGATAAAGGAAGAAAAAGAATGTTAACTTAACATCCCTATTAGCCCCCCGGACTTACAAATTCTTTATAGCTTTGATTTTAAAATACACTAGGGACCTCTCATACCATTGTTCGTATGTAAAATTTTAGCCATATACAATCTAGCAAATATCTGTAACTTTGTCAATCATCAAAAGTCAAATAAAGAAAGATGGAATGATTATTTCAGAATGATGATTTTATTAAAGTTTCATACAAGAACATTGATGTGAGTGATCCATAGTTTACAAGGAGTAAAAATCACCAAATGCAGCATCAGACAGCCACATAACCTACGATCTCGGCATAAACCTGAGCTTTTTATGGTAATAGATATGTGCGAAAAAAATCTTTAGACATAAAAACCTTATTTAATATTCTATTTACGGAAATGAGTTAGTACCGTACCGATAGAATGAAGCTATTCTGTAATTTTCCGGAATAAAGACAGCAATACATCGGGCCAATGACAGTCCCCTTTCTCGTGTGACGCAGCTATCCATCTGTCTTTCGTTAGCAACTGTGTGATAAAGAAAGCGCTCCACAAACTACTTTCCGTTAACAGAATATTAACAATAAATAGTAGTATTAACTTATTCATACAACAATAAATACAAACTAGTTTAATAGTAACATAAACAACACATGTTTTATTGTATTTAAAGTTAATTAATATCTTCTGTGTTGTCTCGTACAGATGATGTGTGTCGCATCATTCCAGACGCATTGAGCACTAAGTATCTTAATGTCTTGCGACGTCACAGGCCAAGGTCGGCCCCTACGTACCGCAAGATGCGTTTAGAATGCTGCGTCATTTGATCTCGTTCTGTTGAAATTTTACATGTATCTACGCTTAAGTAAAACGCAGGCGACTTGAGAACGAATTTCTATTTGTACCTTCTAGAATAGACAAATGACCATCTTCAATTCAAATAGACTATTTGACAAGTATATAAAAACATTAGGCACTTGACAGTGCCTCCATAAAAAGTGGAAAAACACACGGCTCTCATTGGTACGTCAAACAGTAAAGTTATGTCAGTTCAACACCATGTTTACAAGCTGGTGACATCATTTTAGGCTCCGCCAATCCAAGGCGTTTTCGATCACGTGACAATATATCAAAATATTCTTTTCTATTTCATGATTTTTAGTAATATTATTAACTCCTTTTTTTGGCAGTATGATGAAATTGTTGCCAATATTGATGTTAAATGCAAAGACAATAATTAGTACTTTATTTTTCATACTGTCCAATAGCCTATTCTCCTGTGATACTATTTGTTTGAAGAGATAAGTTAACTAAGCTTAGGTTTCGTCCGCTCTCAATGAAGACTGCGCTTAACAGGCTAGGTACTTATACAGAAATTGCATAACTAAAAATAAATACTTATTTATATGAATGTATAGATAATTCTCAAAAAATATTTGTATATGATCATGAGGGACTTTGTAATTAATCGAATATTCGCTAATGGCGCGATTACACTTGGTAGCTAGCCCGAATAAGAGTGCCAATGTAATTCGGGTAAAAGACTAAGTATAAATGAACGGAGTTGAGTATGCACATATCCAGGTAGATTTCCTATTGTTTACCCGATACAATCTTCCAGCTGGAATACCAATGTAAATAAGCATGTTTGGAATAGGCTTCCTGTCGTTTTGCTAGGGACGCATTTTTGTTGGAATTTTTATACCACTGTGTAACAGTAGGATAGTTTTATATTTTTGATGTTGGAATTAAAAAATGTGTAACCAATAATTTTACATATAAATACAAGCAGTTGGTAAATTTATTTGATATTCTCATTTCAGTATCACTGCTTATCAATAATTGTTGCATCAGAGTAAATGAAAAAAAAATCATTATCATCTATCTCTAAATGAATGACAGCATATGTGAATGAAGTTTTGAGTTCATTTTTATTTAATAGTAACAATCTAGGTAAGTAAAATATAATTAGCTTGAAAATAAAAACCTAACGACTCTAAATTTTTCAACTACAATTTTGTAAAACCTATACCATTTTGTTTACAGCTTTGGATTTGTAACTCTACACCTCAGATGAAATAAAAAAGTATTTGATCTGTGCTATAAGTACAAAATAAAAAGCTCTCACAAAGACTGTTCACTAGACGAGCGATAAAAAAATCCCATTTCAATTGTTTCTATACCTTGGGACACTGGAATTTGTCCCAGCCACATAAGGTGGGTTTGCATTCTTGAGACTCATTATAAAAGAATATGTTTGTGTCTGAGAGGATTATGTCATTTGTGAAGGCCTACTTCATACTAGGGTAACAAGTGGGTATAAAGTAGTTTTGAAAACATAAATAGCAATATGATGACATAAGCAGTAAATCATATTGATAGTAAAATAGTCTAGTCCATTATATAATTAGATATTTGTCAGCATTCTTCATAGGGCTCTTCACAAGATGGTGTCACCCAGAGCTCACCCACCATTCGACAAGACTGAAGCTCAGACAGCTCTAGTCAAGAGGAATGGTGGACGAGACCCGGGCATCTTCTTTGTTCAATCTTCGTTGTTACTAGTACGCACCTTTCATCAGCTCAGAGTACAATACACAAATGTTTATTAAATAATCCGTTTTCTTATCAATACAACAAAGTTTTATGGAATCTGATAGATTTCATGAAGATGTAAGCAGAACCTTACAACTCAAATGTTTAAATTCAGAAACATTTGAGAATATAGCCGTTACATAATATGGTAGGCCTGATTCTTGTTGGACTCTTATCAAATTTAGTTTAAAACTTAAGTCAAGCATTCTCTACTTTTCATAGTTATAGAACATGATAAGCATATGCTACCATCAAATGTAAGTTTACATTTTCAAACTTTTTATGTTTGGAGAATAATGCCACAACTAAGCTCACTCTTGGTAGATACAAACTCAATTTGTAATTTAATAATTGTTAATCAAAAATAAGTTACAGGCATAGATACAGAATACCCTGATCCATGTAGTTTGAACACAACAAAGTGAAATGAAATAAATCAAGACTAAATGAATAGTATAATTTGTTGCTCCTCATATAAAAACTTAGGAAATAAATAATAAGCTCTAAAATACCTTTAAAAAATTAAGAAACTTTTAAAACGCGTTGGAAATTAAATCAATTAAAAATTCACTATCATTTTGTAGTAACATAAGAATGATTTTGAATGCAATAAAATTTTAAGTTTTATTATTGTTACAATAAGTAATAAGGTTTATTTCAAGTTTTATTATTAGCATCAATTAAATAACAACAATAATCCTATTAATTACATTACATAGATTTTAATATAAGTTAATTAAGACAAAGTGCAATGACTTTAAACAAATAATAAAGCTAATCGCTTACCTGACTCGTGTTACTGTCGAAGACAGCATCATAAGCATAGATCCGAGGAGGCTCAGGTGGAATCACATTATTCCTGGTGACTGCAACGGTGTTGTTGACAGGATCCACGGAAATGCAGTTAGGGGACCCCTCCAGCTTCTCCCGCTGGTCCATGGGACGAACACGGACGACCACACGGACATTCTCCACGGTCGGAGCAGTTAGCTCCGCGTCCTTAGGTAAACAAATAATTTATGTTGAAGAAATTCGCTGATGCATAGATTGTTTTCATATCGAAGTCAAATTTATTCTAAAAAATCTAACCAACATAGGAAAGAAATCAAGAAAAAAATGAGTCACCACAAAGTTAAGAATAGCCAATTAAATAAGGTTATAAAAAATAATATTGTTAAAAAAAATCCTATTAAGAAATAAGAATCTTATAAGAAACATTAGATGGACAACCTTGAGTGAAATTGTGTAACTAATTGCTCAAAGCCAAACTGTCTATTGACTGAAACATAAGTAACATGAAAACCCCAAAACGAAGGAAATTAAGCTATCGCATCAAAGGTACTTAAAATACTGATGAAATTCAAGTGTAATTTAACAAAATATCGTAGAGTACTTAACGAGCTATCGTGTCGAGTCGGCGACAACTACGCATCAGCGTAAAGCGATCAGGAGGTAGGTAGATGTAACGTCTAACGTGACCATGAGAAATAAGAATGACTCACACTCTACACTCGTGGTTAAAAATAATGATCGCGGACAAATTACACAAAAACTGCCAACTACAAATCCAAAAAAACACTTATGGGAGTGTACTAGCGTTGCACTCGTCACGGCGAAGTAACCACATATACCTAATTTCTAGAAAGGAAACGATTATGAAATAGGTACGTTTTCCAGCAGCAACTGGCTGCGTCTATAGCACATGTTCAAAAGATTCACTTACAGGCATTTTCCGAGCTCCCGACTGTCCGGATCACGGGAACATCAATTTCTACAGTACGACACAAAGAGTTACGTCTTTTGTTTGCCGAATATTGGAAAAATCAATACCGACGACCTACTTTTTCCGTTTCAATTTCCTTTGAGTTGAGAGCGAAATGGATGGATGGAAATGACGTGACATTCGCTGGAAATGTTGCAAGTTTAAAAAAACAGAGAGTGGAAGTGGAGCTTGATTCTGGTATGATTCTCCGCATGATTATGTATTTAAAATACATCTTTTTGAATGATAGGGGCTTGCTGCTACCAAGCCAAGTTTTTACTGTACAGAATTATGAAATAATTTTTCGTCAACTTCGGTAGTTTTATTAAATTAGATAAAAAACTAAGATGATGGTTACAAGACGACACACAATGGTATCGATTCTGGCATGATTCTCTAAACCTAAACTTAAATTTGACAACAGTGCATCCTTTTCCTTATCTATACAGAACGAAAAGGAGAGACTGATGTTAAATTTAGGTTTAAGTTTAGAGAATCATGCCAGAATCAACATCATCAGCAGCATAAAATTGTAGATTTCATGGTTAAGGCTAGTGCTATGACGGCATTTAACATGGATATTCGTGATTGCTATTTGTAAACTAGACATCGGTTTGTTCTTTTCATTCTATTTACAGCATGATAAAAAGAGACCGTTGTCAAGTATTAAAAAAAGCAAATATGAAAAGCCAAGTGAAGAGCCGACATTAAGATTAAGTAATTATTTTATTTGGGGTTTCAGTGAACATAACCGTACCTCTATCTGAAATAAGTTCAATATTGTAATAAAATTTTCATCTTTTGGAAGAAAAGTAGAAACCAATATTATAAACATGTAAAAAAGTGAATGATTATAGAATCCAGTGCTTTTAAAATTTGCCAAATATTAAAAAAAAAACAATTTGTCAAAATAAAATACCAGCCAGGCAGACGTCAAAAAGCAGCCGATGTTTATTTTCAAATGAAAATTATTTCCTGGGCATTTTTCTTCCATGGCTTATTCGTTAAACTTGATAAGTATAAAATTAAGCAGTCTCGATTCCCGATAAAAAATTGTTAAGTTGAAAATGTCCTCAGGATCCAACGATACTTTGAACCATATTGATTGTGTCGACGTCAATAATGAAAGCAAAGAAAATGGTTCTGTATGTGATCTAACCAGCGATTCTGGTGTATCAACATACAATTCCTGTTCTAATGAATATGCTGCGTCCACAGACTGCGAAACTTCTCCAACAAAATCTACTGAAAACGCTGAAAATTGTAGCAACAGCGACTGTGTTAAAAATGAAACAAACTCTTTTTCGAGTCCCATATCGTTATCTTCCGATGTTGATGAGCTTACAGATAATATTTCTGCCGAAAAACGGTTGTCGCTAACTGAAAATACCTGTTCTCAATCAGAAAATTCGCCTACCAAAGACAAAAGTGAAATATGCCATAGCATCGCAAATCAGAGTGAAAGTGTTATATTGGAGCCTGGTTTACTTAACGACAGACTCACGACAGCACCTTGTTACAGTAACAACATCACAGACTATGTAAACAACATTTCCCTTGCATCATCAACAACTAGTCTAAATGAGCAAGCCATGCATTCCATTAACAATAGTGTCATATCGAAATCACCTTACAGCAAAAGTGCTGAAAACATATCAACTATCGAACAAAATGTTATTGAGAAAAAATTGTCTTCCAACGAAATAAATGCTGATGAAATTTTAACAGAGTTTGCTAACAAAAAGAGCAAAGTTGCTGCCACACAAAATGTTCCAGAACTGTCTCAGGCTAATGTTCAAGCAAATGTCGACGTGAGGTTCTCTCGGTTGCCCAAAGAACTCATTCCCCAAGACTTGGGGAGTATCGTTAAAAATGTTCATGGTATTTTCTCCACTGTCAGTGGAAGTCTGAAAAATGCATACAATAACTCACATCGAATGTCAATGCAGAAAACATTACCTAAGGCTATACCAAAGCCTATACCTAATGGCAAGGTTATGAACTACATTTTTGAGGAAGAACCTTGTGAAGAGAGACAGATGGAAAAAAATTATAGCATGGACAATTTAAACAGCAGTGACAACTCGGAAACTATGAACAAGGAAGTCAAAGGTGACTCTGACAACAAGGAAGTAGAAGGAGACTCGAAGACTGACATGTTAAAAATGCAAGTGGAGTCACTGGAACAGTTGTTGGCTGAGCAAAGGAAAGAGAATGCAACATTGAGGGAAAGAGTAAAGCAACATTTGGACGAGTTGCAAGAGAAGGATCACATGTTTAAAGATATAGAAAATAAACTTGATTTGGTAAGTATTTTCTTTTTTTTTTGCTACCGTTTGTTGTAATGAGGCTTCAGCAACTGGGGTGGTTATATCAGCCTCTCATGACTTACAGGCATTTTCCATGATTCTATCCAAAAGACAGGGCTTGGAAGTTTTCAACTATTAGAGCAGATGCAGCTGAAACTCGCAGATACATCCAACAGTGGGACCATCACAAAGAATATATCTTGTAACTGGTTTGGTTTACTGAACAAAACACTGAGAGGATAGTTGCGCGCATGGATACGCCTGGAGGCTCAAGGCATGTGCACCTTGTTTCCCCCCCAAGACATCTTAATTTTTTACTTCTGCGCAATAATGGTCAGCGCAAGAGTTTCGTGCTGCGACTAATATCAAGTTGTTCTATATCCTATCCTAACCTAACGCTATTATCAAGTACTATTTCTAAGGTAAAAAAATTGTTTCTTTTAATTAAATAAGAATAACTATGCCAGAAATATGTTTTGTGATGGTCTCTCTGCTGGATGTGTCTACTACAATGTCTGCTAAATAGTGAAGGGGTCTAAAATGGTGAAACAACTTATATTTATTTAATTTATGAATACTTTGTTTCAAGATGCGATTTGTTGTATATTCCCTGGCAGATCAGGCATGCCTTTCAGTCAGGATACCTACCCACTTAATTTCACTTGTTTACTTTTCATAGGGCAATTTTTTTTTTTATTGTATTCTTGTAGTAGAGTTTTGTTTTGTTACTTAGCAGTTGGTTGAGTAGTTGTTATTCTGTAAAAAAACTCATTTCTGTTGGCTAGCTTCCCAATCCAGATTTGAAATGAAAAAGTTAAGCTTTGATTATTTACATGCTTAGATACTGTATTAGCTTCATGGAAACGTCCCAAAAAATATTGTCTATATATGGTAGATAAGCTTGTCGCTAAGCACACGCACATTGACTGCTTTCAAACAATCTAACATTAGTGTTATACATGGCCAGACCATTCGGCAATAGCAATGTGCTCAGATTAATCTGTGATCACGTGACCAAAAATCCTTCGCCACTGCCATTCAAATCCCGAACGCAGCTATTGCGCGTAGAGTGAGCCATTTACTCTACAGGGTTTATTTGGATCTAAGTGTATAATCAAAGCGGCTAATCATGTTCTCAGATGAGCAAACGTGTGGAGCAAGCAGAGCGCGAGAAAGACGCAGCAGTAATGAGGTACGCCAGCGTTGAATGTATGGCTATTGAAGCTAAACGGGCAGCGGAGAAGGCGGCCAATGCTGAGAAGGCAGCCTTGACCGAAGTGGAACTCCTCAATAGCAAGCTGAAGTCTGCTCACGGAGAGAAGCATAGGATCTGTCAACTGTACGATGATAAGGTTGGTGTTAATGATGTTATACTATATACAAAGAGATAGAAAGGACAGCAGGATCTCTTTAAGCTGAACTCCAAAAATTTACCTCCCCAATTTCGAATTCATGAAGTGTTTGGTTTATAGTACAGAGAATTGATAGGGTATTCTTTATCAAATAAAACATACTACTATTAATATACATATTGTGAAATGACAAAAATATATTCATTCATAAACATTACATTTATTACCTTTTTATAGAAATCCAATATTTAGGTTGGTTGGGAGGTATTGAATGGCAAATAAAAAGCTTTGTCTCACAAAAAATAAATAAGTATTTCCAACACACACCAATTGCCTAGCCCCAAAGTAAGCACTGTAGGCTTGTGTTATGGGATACTAGGGTAACAGATAGAATACATATACTGATACATATATAAGTAAACTTATATAGAAATACATTTTAACATCCATGACTGGAGTACAAATGCTGGTATTCATCACACAAACATCTGCCACCACTGGGATTCAAACCCGGGTCCTCTCGAGTAGCTGACACCTTGAAACCCTGCGTACAAACCACTCCGCCATATAGGTCGTCGACAACAATTTAAGTAAAAGCTTTTGTTCTGGATAAGGAATGTCCAATTAGTCAGCCCATTCATGTATGTACCTACACGACAATCGGTAATTAACTGGCGAGACAGCGAATGATAAAGCGCGGGCGGGTGTGGGACGTCGACAGTCCTGCTATCCCACAGACCACAAAAAGTGGTTAGAGAGGAAGGCGCGCCACAGTTATGTATGAGCAAATGCTCATAACTTGACCAAAACTTGCTTCTGATTGCGTTGTTGCTCTCAGATGTTAGCGCTGAATGGTTAAATGCTTTGATGTCGCGTCGTTTGATTGGCTATTATCTATTAGGTGGATGGGTAATGTAGACGAGCCGGCGACGTCAGTTACCTTAGAAATGGTCTTTTCCCTTCTAACCTTTTCTGTTCTGTTTGCCATCCCAACTCCTCCAGGCCCCGTAGTATGAGCATCACAATTTACATTATATAAAGTTTTTTATCGCATCTAACTGTCAACCTCCATAGTAAATTGACAATTCAGCATGATAGGGGGCAGCAAGCCCTCTCGCGGTGCCGCCCTTAACAGCGTAGAGGGTATTCGCAGGGTTTTTTAGCGGATAGGATGCCGCAAGCGCTCGTAAGCCGCGCGGACTGCTTAACGGCTTCTCCGTTTCGCACCCGTGAGACTTGCGAGAGGCTGTGGCGCAGATCGCTTAACGGCTTCTCCGTTTCGCATCCGTGAGACTTGCGAGAGGCTATGGTGCAGATCCTGACCGGACATGGGTGTTTTGGTCACTATCTGCACCGGATCGCCCGTCGGGAGGAGACGCCGCGCTGTCATCATTGCGACGCTTCCGACGATACGGCCGAACACAACTTGTTGGTGTGCCCGGCCTGGCGACGACAGCGCCGCGAGCTAATCGCGGCTCTTGGATGCGAGACCCTCTCGCTTCCGATCATGGTTGAGGCCACGCTCAGTGGCGAGACGGCTTAGGAGGCGGCCGAGAGGGAACGGGAGGATAATCCTCTGGCCGCTACCTCCCGCCGCAGAAGAACAGGTAGGGGAAGGCCAAGGCGCGCCCTGGCCGCGCCCGCCCAGTGACCCCCCTACCTGAGGGAATCCCTCGCTGCTCGGCATGGCGTTAGCTATGCCGGTCACCGATGAATTCCGCAATAATTGACGGCAGCCCTCTCTTGTAGTTCTGTCCTACATGAAAGGGCCGCGGTAGGGCCTGCGAGGTAAACACCTAGGCAGCACTTCCGCAGCGGACGGGGAGCGGTGCGGTGGGCAATAGACCGCGCACTTAGGTAGCTTTCCAATTACAGCATTATAGCGCATTATGCGGCATAATGCTTAACGTTGAGTGTTCCAACTACAGCAACGCTTCGCACAATAGGCTAGTTGACCCTTTTTGGAAAAAGGTTTTAAATGGTTAATAAATGTTCTATTAGACCGCAAAAAAATGTATTGTATTTTTTTTAAACCTAGAAAGCTACAAATCTTTAATTTTAAAATAGACTTTTCATGGACATACAAAAACGCTGTCGGCCATTTTAGTCTATAGATTATCTATGCTATGACGTGAACTGTGGTAAACAAAAACTCGTAAACACGTAGAAAATTACTTTTAACTGAGTTTATAATAAAAAAAAAACATGATTTCTAATAAATACCACGAAAAATAAAGTAATTATCATTACTGTATTGTACGAGAATATAAGACCTTGAAGACTCCAGGAAAGTTGTGGAATAAAGTGCCGAAAGAAATTAATCTACGCAACTTTATTACACTTATTCATATGTTGTATCAGTTTTATGTTTATTACTACATTGGTGTCGATTCTGACATGATTCTCTAAACCTAAACTTAAATTTGACAACAGTGTATCCTTGTCGTTCTCTATACAGAATGAAAAGGAGAGACTGATATTAAATTTAGTTTTAGGTTTAAATAATCATGCCAGAATCGACATCATTGTAATACTAAATGCACTGTACTTACATAGATGCCTTGTCGTTTCTCTGCTCCGCAGAGCAGAAATCGGGGTTTAGTGCAACAAATTCACCAACCATCAATTCTTGGCAGATTTGTGCTTTCTGCTTTCACAAAGCCGGCATCCATAATTAGTTTAGTCAAAAAAACTAAGTTTACTGTTTTTTTCTTTCCTAAAGTTAAAAGTGTTTTAAGATAAATTTAGTCAGACGAAAGAATCCACCTACAGTAACACGCGAATGGCATTAAGTTGTTTACCACAAGAGACGTCAAAATCATGGCAGATGTGGCGAACAGCGTTTTTAGTGTTTAAAAAATATAGACTAAAAAATTTTTTTTTAAATTAAATTTCTACAGCAATCTTCTGCTTTTATGAAGTGAAATCGATATATTAAGGTTCCTTAGACTAAACACTTTAAGAAATAAACATTTATTTAATACAATTCGACATGAGTAAACTAGCCTATTGAGCACTCTCAAAAGTAATGCTTTCGTGTGATGCGTGCAATCGTACCAACTCAGAGACAGAAAATTAACAAGTGTTTTTTTCTTTATGTTGGCATTGATCGAAATGATTTATTTATATGTTATCGTTAGTAATATTATTTATTGTTGAAAAATTATTAAAACATTTGTTTCATCATAGTTTTTTTTTTAAATAATCAAAGTTAATTCAAACTGTGTTAAAAATTTAATATAAATATGGATGAAGGTACAAACATTGACTTTTTTGAAGTTATACTTCTTTAGGCGCGTTATGAAAAAATTATGAGAGTTAAATTTTATGATGCGCTCATCACTGTAACATAAAAAGAAAGGTCGCTAAAGCGACCAACTTCATGCTGTTAAACTTTTGTGTCTACCGCACATTAAGAAAATCTACCAACAAAATAGAAATAGAATCTCTATTTTGTGGGTGCTAACGACTGCATTGTGAAGGCCTATCAAAAGTATTTATTAATCTGGAACAACGGAACCAAAGCGCGATTCAGGAGACTACAGCGCCATCTCTTGACCATTGATGTAGTAGAACCAAAAACCACATCTTTATTTTTTGTAATAAAGTAACAGTTATAGGTATTCATATTTATAATATTTATCCACATGTTTCTAGTTTGTATATTCGGAATACGTGTTTGAGTTTCATACAAGTGCAAATCACATATGTTCTAATAAATTATATTCCAGACTTTTTATTAATTTATTGTAATTAATTATTTGCATGCAATTAAAAACTAATTTTAAACGATGCCAAAGAAGGATAACTTCTCACGCGCCTACATAAGTACACGCACCCATATTTTTTTTCAACACTGAACTTAGCGCACTCTGCTGGTGCGTTTGAAAACTAATTCACGTTCCAATTAAGCATCAGCATAATTCGGCATTGTGCGGCACTGAGTCGCATTATGCTCTGTAATTGGAAAGCAACCTTAGCTCCCAGCGCGGGCAGTCCTGCGCACGTCTGCGGGATCTCCCGAAATACATCGGGTGATCCCTACCGTGGAACCTCGGCTAGGCCGGGAGGCTGTTGGGTGCGGAGACGCGGTGAAGTCCCTCAACGGGGATCTCGTGAGGTCAGTTCGTTGGTGTGCCCCTTAAGGGCGCCAACGTCTGTACATAGAGGTATTGCCTGCATAATAAAAAAAAAGGGGGAGCAAGCCCAGCGTCGTCCCGCCATGCCCAAATCGATATTAAATTCATGAATATTTTCATATTTCGTTTATTAATTAGTCACAACCGTGTGTGATTCGTGAGCGAGTGATATAAGTATTTCTATGATTGTATCATTCCAGTGTCATGAGTTGGCTAACAGCGAACGCGAGGTCTTTAAGGTTCGCGAGGAAATAAAAGAGTTGGAAGGCAGACTGAAATGGACCCAGAGCAAGCTGCGAATGGAGATGGACGCTTACAAGGTATCTCTCATCATCATTAGGCTAATAATGCCTCTATTAATGTGTTATTATCTTCTTAATATTTATTTATACTAGTGGCCCGCCCTCGCTTCGCTTCGGTTAAAAGCGGTAGTGAAGGTAGACTTTAGTTTTTATTCTGAGGCTTGTATTATACTCAATGAATTTCTTTATATAATAATTATTGCAAATGGATTCTTTGACGTTAGCAATAAAGTTCGAATTGACTGTACAATTTATTTAGAAAACGAAAAGGGCTGTTCTTAGGGTTTTCTCGTCAATTATTCGAATTTTTCTCACCTTTTAAATCTTCCCTAGACCTCCACGAACATTTCAAGACCAAGATAAGATAAATCCGTTCAGCCGTTCTCGAGTTTTAGCGAGACTAACGAACAGCAATTGATTTTTATATATATATATGTCGGAGGATGTGACGAGTAGAGTTTCTTGTTGAATGTTAATCGCGAAAAGGCTATTGTTAACACTTTAAATAATTTTATAAAATCTTAATTTAAATTGATTTTATTAATTACAATTTTTGTATTGTTCAGTAACTTAACAATTTAATAAAAGTCTCTTATAAATCATCTTGTGTCGCGTCCAATCAGAGCAGAGCACGTGCCTCGAGTGGGGTCGAGGCGCCATCTTGATTTTCACAGGTGGGAGGTAGTTTTTGAGCGTATTTAAAGGCGAGGAACTGATCGTAGCGTTTCATTACTAGAAAGGTGATACGGTAGTTCAGTGAAGTCAGATTGGTACCTTGAACCCACTGCTCGGTTGTTACGTTATTTAAGTGTCCTTAGTGTAAAGTAAAGTGTGTGTGAAACATTTTTATTTTGTTTTTGTTAAAAGAACGTAATTAAAACTATACGAACAGTGATTGAGTGATTGTTTGGTTTTGTGCCTGTATCAAGCCCCAATGACGCCCACTAAGCCCGTGAACGCTAATGACAAAGTGAATAGTCGCTCTCCGACATCAGAAGCGGGATCGGTGCAGGCACAAAATATGCACGATTCAACCGGGGTCAACGACGTTTTGCAAGCTCTGTTTGAAGTGCAACAAAACAGCATGCAACGGAGCGTGATATACAGTCCCTTCGCGTGACAAGCATCAATCAACTTCGACTTCTGACCACAACAATAAGGCTGCGGCTACGACGAGGCCCTCGGTGAGCTGCTACAGATGTGGTGTAGAGGGTCACATCGCATCACGATGCACGAAAACCTGGACAGCTACAAACAGCAGATTACAGCCTGCTGCTAGATCCAGCATTATGAAACAAGTGGACTTATGCGGAGTGAAACCCGTCACTGGGGTGATCACATAATTTGGTGAGCAGTTTTCATTTTGCTTTGATTCCGGGGCTGATTATTCGTTAATAGAAAGACTGTATATGGGTGTTTGAAGTATTTAAATGTATAGCGTGGTGGCTCAATGAGTTGTTTGTAAGACTTAAGTAGCGTGGTGGTTGTAAAATTTATGCTATGACGCCATAGAGGCGAGGAGGCCATTAAAATGTTGTTAAGTAAGGAGTCTACTTAAAGTGTAAAGGTAAAGTGTCTGTTAAGTGCAACGGCGAGGTGGCTGTTAAGTATAACGGTGAGGTGGCTGTTAAGTGTAACGGCGAGGTGACTGTTAAGTGCAACGGCGAGGTGACTGTTAAGTGCAACGGCGAGGTGGCTGTTTAGTGTAATGGCGAGGTGACTGTTTAGTGTAACGGCGAGGTGACTGTTTAGTGCAATGGCGAGGTGGCTGTTAAGTGCAATGGTGAGGTGGTTGCTAAGTGTAACGGCGACGTGGCTGTTAAGTGTAACGGCGTGGTGGCTGTTTGGAAAGTACTTAATTGAGTATGCAACAGTGAGGTTGTTGGGGTACAGATTCCATACGTAACGATGAATTGTAAGGCCTATTTCAATTAGAAAAGCAAATATTTCGAATGAAGTTGTTATGAAAAAAAAACATTTGGCGTGGTCAGGATTGGCCGATGTACTGTACATGAACCATTTCTTTTTTTACAGACAGCGAGCATGCTGGTTCTTCAACATCACACGAGGACGTGTCATAGGTCAGGATGGCCGTGTCGGAGGATGTGACGAGTAGAGTTTCTTGTTGAATGTTAATCGCGAAAAGGCTATTGTTAACACTTTAAATAATTTTATAAAATCTTAATTTAAATTGATTTTATTAATTACAATTTTTGTATTGTTCAGTAACTTAACAATTTAATAAAAGTCTCTTATAAATCATCTTGTGTCGCGTCCAATCAGAGCAGAGCACGTGCCTCGAGTGGGGTCGAGGCGCCATCTTGATTTTCACAGGTGGGAGGTAGTTTTTGAGCGTATTTAAAGGCGAGGAACTGATCGTAGCGTTTCATTACTAGAAAGGTGATACGGTAGTTCAGTGAAGTCAGATTGGTACCTTGAACCCACTGCTCGGTTGTTACGTTATTTAAGTGTCCTTAGTGTAAAGTAAAGTGTGTGTGAAACATTTTTATTTTGTTTTTGTTAAAAGAACGTAATTAAAACTATACGAACAGTGATTGAGTGATTGTTTGGTTTTGTGCCTGTATCAAGCCCCAATGACGCCCACTAAGCCCGTGAACGCTAATGACAAAGTGAATAGTCGCTCTCCGACATATATATATATAAATTACGCGTCACGTTGTTTGTCCGGGATGGACTCCTAAACTGCTTAACTGATTTTAATGAAATTTGCAGTTTGATCCAACTTGAAAGATGGGATAGCTTACATCTCAATTTATAGTCGCAATATTATTTTATTGCAAATTATTACGTTTGGGCGGTACGAAGTTCACCGGGTTAGCTAGTTTAAAAATTTAAAAGAGGAAACTGACTGAGTTACTGATTCACCGACTGACTGACTTCATATCAACACACAGTCCAAACCGCTGGGTCTAGCGTCTCCAAATTTGGCATGTGGGTACCCCATGAGATCTAGGGGTGCACTAGAAAGAGAAAAGATATTTTTCGAAATTCTCCCTCAAAGGGTTAATAATAGTGGATGAAAGTTTGTATGAAAAATCCTATTCCTTTAGTTAGTAGACTTGAAACTTGCTACGAATACTTTTCTCAATAATTTAGGAAGTTTGTAATTTTTAAGTTTTCTAAACTACCCCTAAAAGGAAATTGGTAACGGAGGGTGTCGAAGTTTTTATATGGATCAATTTTAACGCGCATTTCGATTAATTCTAAAGTCAGATACTTGTGACCGGAAATAAAAAATAACATGTATCAGAGTTTTTTTTAACTCTGCCCCTAACGAAACGATGTAATTAATTCTTGCAGTAGTTATTTTTACCCGACTGCGCGTTCAAGCAGTGTGAAGCGTGGCGTGCAGGCAGAGTATAATGTTTAACAATCTAGTTCCTTTGTGGCAGACTAGAGAGCAAACGCGTGCACCGATTTTGATGATTCATACGTCAATCGATTCGTCTTAATCATGGGAGTGCTACTAATGATGTGATAGTAATCGAAATTCAATATGGGGACAACAAAATGCCATATTGTGCGAAAGAAAAACCATAAGTCAACGAAATATGTCGAGTGTGGTTTCATTGTCTAGAAAATAAAAAAAATCATGTTTAGGTTTCTTACTTCATTATTCATTTCATATGCTTGTTTAGGATCTACAACGATTTATAGTTGAATAACAACTGTTTGCGCTTTTAATTTTCAATCTTACGCTTGCATGGATCTTTCTTATTCTTTCACGTAAAAATAACTAAATGGATTTTAATATCTCTGTTCTGGGAGCCCCTGGGCCACAGCCCTTGTTTTATCAAGACACTTGTAGCGCACGTAGTGTATCTAGGGTATTTAATAATCGTTAGCTGGGGTGTATACCCGCAATCTCCTAATCACGAACTTGTTGTTGCAAGGATTTTTCTAGAATGATCATCTATTTCTTCAGGAAAGTGCTGAAAGAGCTGAGAAACTTTCCCAACAAGTCTCAGAGCTGGAGGCAGCTAGAGACTCAGCCGCGGCCCACGCAGGGGATAGTGCTAAGGTCAAACAATTAGGTATGGAATATAATAAAAAAACAATAAAAGCCCATATGTTTTTGTCAAAGGCCCGTATAAATAGATCGCTCTTAAAACTCTTCTCTCTCTGTCTCTCTCTCTCTCTAAGGTCTTGAGATACTGTTTTCGTACAAAAACATAAATATAAATATTTCCAAAACTCACACCAATTAGCCTAGCCCCAAAGTAAGCTCTGTAGGCTTGTGTTATGGCATACTAGGGTAACGGATAGAATCATCATCATCATCTCGAGGAGCTTGATGGCGCAGGTGGTTAGCGCGTTCGGCTGCGATCGTTGAAGTTAAGCAACTTTCTCAGATGACCGACCAGTCATTGGATGGGTGACCAAAAATCTTCTATCTCGAGTTTCTCCTTGCTTCGCAAGGCACGTTAAGCCGTTGGTCCCGGCTGCATCAGCAGTCGTTAGCACCCCGCCAATCCGCACTTTGCCCGCGTGGTGGGTCATGGCCCAATCTCCCTATTCCATCCATAATAGGCTGATGATGATGATGATGATATATTTCGAACTCTTACACCAATTAGCTTAGCCCCAAAGTAATGGCATACTAGGGTAAAATGAGTTTCGCAAGAATGCCATGGTTAATTTTGAGCACAAAGTGATATCGCTGTAAACTTTAATTTTCGCTGGCTTTCATTTTGTTTCACAATATATATCCAATTAATTACATGTCACATTATTATGTGACTTGACGACCTCCGTGGCCGCGTGGTTTGTACGCCGGGTTTCATGGTGTCGCCGACTCGAGAGGTCCTCGGTACGAGTCCCGGTGGGGGCAGATGTTTGTGTGATGAATACGAGCATTTGTACTCCAGTCATGGATGTTTAATATGTATTTTCTATATAAATACACTTATATATGTACAGTATATGTATTCTATCCGTTACCCTAGTATCCCATAACACAAGCCTTACAGTGCTTACTTTGGGGCTAGGCTAATTGGTGGGAGTGTTGGGAATATTTATTTATATTTAAATTCTCAAAATTTTTAAATTATATTTAAGACCTTAAATGTCATTTAATTTAAATTATAATTGCTGTTAACCTTTTATTATCTTTTTTTAATTTAACTATTAGCGCTTGGTCTAAGGCTAAGTAGGCTGCTGCTGAAAATCAGTCACATATATACTGAGCAGTGGCCTGTTTGGTACAAAATCTTTATATAATACAATAAGCTATTTTTGTAATTTGTGCCAAATAAACGTTTTTATTATTATTATTATTATTTCCGAATATTATGGTCCTAAGAAATTTTCCAAATCAAAAATATAGCTTACGTTCGTCTGGGTGTTTTAGAGTCTGATTTGAAGGAGTGTCAAGCTGCCCTCATACTGTGCCGACACGAAAAGCAAGACCTGGACAAACAGCTGTCGTCTCTTTCCCACCAGCTTGACGCCTGCACGAGGGAGAGGGATAGCAATACTGCCGCTCTACTCGCCGCCACTGCCGAGGTGAGATATTGTATAAAACTTGTCTATATATCTTGTGCCTGGGTGTTTAGACTCCGATTTCGCTGTCTCAATAGTTAGACGCCTGTAAGAAAGACAAGGATAGCAATACTACCGCTCTACTCGCTGCCACAGCTGAGGTGAGATATTGTATGATACTTGTCTACGTATCTTGTGTCTGGGTGTTTAGACTCCGATTTCGTTATGTCTCAATAGTTGGACGCGTGTAAGAAAGACAGGTATAGCAATACTCCCGCTCTACTCGCTGCCACAGCTGAGGTGAGATATTGTGTGATACTTGTCTACGTATCTTGTGTCTGGGTGTTTAGACTCCGATTTCGTTATGTCTCAATAGTTGGACGCGTGTAAGAAAGACAGGTATAGCAATACTCCCGCTCTACTCGCTGCCACAGCTGAGGTGAGATATTGTGTGATACTTGTCTACGTATCTTGTGTCTGGGTGTTTAGACTGCGATTTCGTTATGTCTCAATAGTTGGACGCCTGTAAGAAAGACAGGTATAGCAATACTGCCGCTCTACTCGCTGCCACAGCCGAGGTGAGATATTGTATGATACTTGTTTACGTATCTTGTGTCTGGGTGTTTAAACTCCGATGTCGCTATGTCTCAATAGTTGGACGCCTGTAAGAAAGACAGGGATAGCAATACTCCCGCTCTACTCGTGGCCACTGCCGAGGTGAGATATTGTATGAAACTTGTCTATATATCTTGTGTCCTGGTGTTTAGACTCCGATGTCGCTATGTCTCAATAGTTGGACGCCTGTAAGAAAGACAGGGATAGCAATACTCCCGCTCTACTCGCGGCCACTGCCGAGGTGAGATATTGTATGAAACTTGTCTATATATCTTGTGTCCTGGTGTTTAGACTCCTATTTCGTTATGTCTCAATAGTTGGACGCCTGTAAGAAAGACAGGGATAGCAATACTGCCGCTCTACTCGCTGCCACAGCCGAGGTGAGATATTGTATGATACTTGTCTATGTATCTTGTGTCTGGGTGTTTAGACTCCGATTTCGCTATGTCTCAATAGTTGGACGCCTGTAAGAAAGACAGGGATACCAATACTGCCGCTCCACTCGCTGCCACAGCCGAGGTGAGATATTGTATGAAACTTGTCTATGTATCTTGTGTCTCGGTGTTTTAGACTCCGATTTCGCTATGTCTCAATAGTTGGACGCCTGTAAGAAAGACAGGGATAGCAATACTGCCGCTCTACTCGCCGCCACTGCCGAAGTGAGATATTATATAAAACAATACTATATCCAACTTCCCCTGACACAAAAGATAAACAAACCGTAAAACGGTTTTTTAAAAGGTCGAATTTTATACACATAAAAAATCATAATTAAAAAAAGTGGCAATAAAAGATTACGCAGAAGAGAAAACTGTACGTGTCCCCAAACTACGAACGCAAGCAACGTGGTGATAAAGAAAAAAATTTACGCTCAAATCTGATTTGTGTGTCAAACGCATGGTAGTTTTATGTAATCTTTGTTTTAATTATTTCATGTGTTTTTTCTTTTTTTTTATTCGGTAATAGGTAAGCGCTTGACCATAATTCGCCTGATGGAAAGCAATATTATGGTCTACGATGGAGCGCGCTTACCTAATAAAAACCGGTTCACTCGTGCTTTGAAGAATATACCTATAATATAATAAAAAATAGTATGCACGGACCACACATCAGAAGTAAAACTTCTTTTCTTAAATAGCCTTAAAGTAGGCGGTGCGTAAGGCATAGGGGAATGGAGCAGCGCACGCAACACTCATACATATATACAGGGTGGAAATTTTGAATACCACCCTCAGGGGAAGGTACTCTAAATACTAGAGATAGATAATTTTATACAAAGGAAACATTCCTTTATTTTTAAAAAGAAACACAACTGCATTCATAGTTTTTCGAAAATTTGCTTGCCACACCCGGGAATCGAATTGGCAAAAATTCGAAAAAATTACACCTGTATTTTTATGGCATCGATCGACAGATTATTTATTATGGTAAATTTTGATGCAGCAAACAGGACTTAAGACTATGCGTTCTAATTCTCTATTCCATTTTCAAAAATAAATAATTTACCTCTTTGCATACCGCATTTAAATTACTGGTACCAAAGAGGTTGTACGGCGCCCACCCTGAGACTGGAACCTTACTGGACTCTTTAGTCTGCATTTAAAACATGTGCAAAAAATTCTTAATTCGGTATTTGAATGTCGTGTAATCTGGTGGGATAAAACTGCTTTTAGTCTTGTTCCATTCAGTTAAGTTAAGATTTCACGCTTTTTCTTCCATTTAATGTACTAAGTTTGTTAGTCAGATATGATCCCTATGATTGACTCTATCGATCGATGACATAAAAATGCAGGGTGTAATTTTTTTCAAATATTTGCTGGTTCAATTCCCGGGTGTGGCAAGCAAATTTTGGAAAAACTCTGAATGCAGTTGTGTTTCTTTTTAAAAATAAAGGAATGTTTCCTGTGAGTAAAATTATCTATCTCCAGTATTTAGAGTACTTCCCCTGGAGGTGGCATTCAAAATTTCCACCCTGTATATATACTAGCTGACCCAGCGAACTTCGTAGCGCCATAATAGTAGGGGTTGATCGTAGAAGGGTTGAAAATTAATGGTTGTATTAAACTACTTGACCGTCACTGAAAGCTTTATATTGAGATAGCATTTCCGTTTCCCGTCGAATTACCATCAGTTTCCGTACTTTTATTCACCTTGTATCCGGTCCAGTGGCGACACCTGGCAGAAGCGCGGCCATTTTTGTTTTCCTAAGTTTTGACAGCGCCATATTAACTCATTGGCGTTCTGACTCCCGTCGAAGCAACACGTGCTCAATCTGAGCGATCGTTGTGCGATTTTAAAGGTTTTATTATTATTAAGTGATAAAACTGTAAGTAAAACTATTTTATTTAACGGTTTTTGCCGTTCGTGTTATTCCAAATAGGTACTTTACGTATTAAAAGTGAAGGAACCGTAAGTAAAACTATAATTCTTTTTGATAGTTTTTGCAGCCCTTGTGATAAGGGATATTTAAAACAAATATGTTAAATTGTGCAATACGCTTGTTTGAAAAAGTAATAATAAGCCGTGAGTAAAACTTAACGGCAATTCAAGGTGCGTTTTGTTTAAAAAATTAAAGTACCTACATTAAAGTAAATTTTGCAATACTTTACGTCTGTCTTGGTCGTTTATCATAAAAACTATTTTAAGAGTGTTTTCTCTTGGTACTCAATCAATGTTTCCGTATAAGTAAATGTGAAAGTAAATTGGTAAATGTATTACAAAATACTTAATTAAATTGTTTTACAGTTTAGAGTGAAGGAATATCGGTCAATATTGACGTTTCAGCCGCCGACTGACTGGCATTATTGGCAAAAACAGCAAGATGTGTGGATCTAGTCATTATTGTTCTTCGAACAGCTGCAGTAATAATTGGTTGAATTTGTCGTCTTCTGGTATAACGAAAGCGGCATCGCTGCCTCAAGAAAAATAAGCGAGCTTGATATTCCAGCCCTTTTATTAAAAGATTGTTCGAGGGGTAAGTGAACTATGTACAATCTTAATAAGGTATTTCTAATGTCGATATGCCGTTTTTCTGAACATGGCCAGCTATCAATAGCTAAAGGCTTATGAATAAAAAGTTCTAACATTTTTACTGACCAATACACGTAATAAAAATTCTCATATGAGTCGTGTGACTAAACTAGGATAAAGGAACGCTCTGTTCAAAAGACATTCAACGTTTATTTTAAATGATATGCTGATGTAAATTAAAAATTATAATCATAGTCCAGGCTTTATCAACCTGGAAACAAACAACGAGGTAAAGAAGTATTATGATAATTTATGATATATCACGTTCCTGACATTAATTTTCTTTCAGCAATTGCATATTTTTAAAATAAAAATGAATCATTGCGGGAAGGCACCTGCTCAGTTAATTTTAATAACGAAAGTGATAAGATAACAGAATCGTTTCTTAGGTCTTTTACAGCTAGCACAAAGCTAAAAAGTAAAAACTAAAGCACTGCAAGACGTTAGTGATCTCTGTGATGAAGCACCACTTAATAAGATACCATCTATGAGGTTGTTTTTATCGTATTAAGTATTTGAGGCAAGTGATATTCATAAGCTTCATCTCATGAAGCCCAAGGCGTGTCAGGACATGCCCTCCCATAGCTAACTACACATATGAGTACCGGTGGCAAATCACCCTCGCGGGGTGCATATTATATATAATTTGTTTCCACTACGTGGAATCTTATTAAATGCCTCTAATGCCTTGCCTGCATTTACGAGTACCGGTGGCAAATCACCCTCGCGGGGTGAATATTATGTACAATTAGTTTCCACTACGTGGAACCTTATGAAATGCCTCTAATGCCTTGCCTACATATACGAGTACCGGTAGCAAATCACCCTCGCGGGGTGCATATTATATACAATTTGTTTCCACTACGTGAAACCTTATGAAATACCTCTAATGCCTTGCTTACATATACGAGTACCGGTAGCAAACCACCTTCGCGGCGTGCATATTACCAAAACTCTGATGACCGCCCCTCGCGGGGGCATATTATGTATAATTTGCTTCCTCCGTATGGAACTCATTATGAATAAGGACTTGCCTTCCATGGCTTGTCTACACATACAAGTATCAGTAACAAAACATCGTTGATAGAGAAATATCCTCATCAATCTTATAATCGCCCTTGTGGGGTCATATCACACATAATATATTATTTCCATTACGTGAATATCAATATATGTTCTCCTTAGAACATGTTAGCTTATGGAGTTCGTACTATTATGTAAGCACCGGTAACATACGACACTCGAGTGGAGCAAATTATGCATAATTTTACATGTAGTCTATTCGTGATTCATAATTTATTTTTGTGACCATGGGGTCTGTAAAAGTGTAAACGATTGGAAACATTAAAAATAAGTAAATTGAAAATATAATAAATGTC